TTAATTATATTTTATATTCATGTAGCTTACGTAGCCAGAGCGGAGAAGTGGTTTTAGAGTTGGACTAAGGCTATTGGTGATATAGAAGCTAGACCACAATATTCTGAGGATCCTGCCTGCCAAGAAATGCTAGCCAAAGTTTCCAGATTAAAATAACTCAACAAAGCAGCCGAAGACAAGGACAGAGGCATTTTCTTGTTCATCTTGATCAGAGGTGGAGACTTGAGAACTCACATTCCAAAAAGGACAAGTCTGCCCAACATGTGCTCCTATAAGGAGCTAAATAGAGTCTGTCTCATTGTTACAATTTGAATCTTCCCTCCCCAACCCAGGATTGGTTGAGCCTTCGATGATGGGACTGGAAATCTCCTCTCAGCCAGGTGAAGAGAAGGCTCTGTGCAGCAGGGAGAAATCCATACAGAGGAGGTTGGCATGTACACAGCAGGGGATGATGGGGCTATGGGATCCACATTCCTGAGGACAATAGAGGGCCTGGTCAGGAGGAAGCTTGACTTGACAAAACAGTTCTGGCATGGGCAAAGAAATTAACATAATGGCCCTCTTTCTTTGTTGGTGAGTCATTATGCGGGACTGGACAAGCATAGGCCCATGTCACTGGTAGCTGGGATTCCAGCATATTGGCTATATATCCATTTCTCTCTGTGTGTATCAAACCATCCTTGAATAAATGTACACAGATCTCACATGGGAAGGGGATCCTTTTGCAAGGTGGCCAACACTTAACCCCTTTATACCATTTGAGCCTGGTGTCATTGGCAAAACTATAAGTTCCCTAACTCTTGAGTAAACTTCAAGAGATCCACACATCAGTTGGCTTGAGAAACTTAGAAGAAATTTCATTTTTCATAGGGAGACATTTGAACGTAGTTCTTTCTTAGAAGGTGGACATTCTAAGAGAGAATAAAAATGGTAGAGAATACACAAAATAGAATAGTGTATCTAGATTTGAAAACGTACTCACATCTGCGCAGTAAATGCCTTTGCCTGATTGCTACCTTTTGGTGTGAAATATGGAGCCCCTTTTGGTGTGAAATATGCAGCCCTGGTGATGCAGTGGATTAAACCGCTGAGCTGCTGAACTTGCTGATTGAAAGGTTGCAGGTTCAAATCTGGGGAGCGGCATAAGCTCCCACTGTTAGCCCCAGCTTCTGCCCCTAGCAGTTCGAAAACATGCAAATGTGAGTAGATCACTAGGTACCGCTCTGGCAGGAAGGTAATGGCTCTCCATGCAGTCATGCTGGCCACATGACCTTGGAGGTGTATACGGACAGCCCTGTCTCTTTGGCTTAGAAATGGAGATGAGCACCAACACCCAGAGCTGGACACAACTGGACTCAACGGCAGGGGAAAACCTTTACCTTTACTATGGAGATCTATAATATGGAGTTCTGAGGAATCTAATCTTTTTTTTTTAATTTGTTTTTTATTGAAGATTTTGAAAGGGGGACATCGAGAGAGTGTCAATCATCGACGTATCATAAAATAAAAGTATTTGAGTGGGGGTGGGGGTGACGGGGCAGGGGTGTGAAGGCGAGGGCGGGTAGGAGGGGGGTAGCTGGATAGTGGGGATGGATAGGGAGAGGTATGCGGGGAGTGGAGGTTAGGGGTAGGCTGAGTTTGTGATATTAGTCTATTGATTAGAGCCCGATGTGCAGGTTAGTATAGGTGCTTGCAAGGTTTCCTTCGCGAGCTTCTTCTTTTTTCTTCTTAACTGATATTAAAATAAATTTTGACTGGGGACCAGTCAACTTTACTTTTCGCCCTTGTTTGCGTACTTTTCAGATGTTCTGTTAAACAGTCCATATTCATTATATCTAGTAATTTGCATGTCCATTCGTCCGTCGTTGGGATTTCACTCTTCTTCCATTTTTTGGCCACCACTATCCTTGCCGCTGTCATCATGTGAAAGAGGAGTCTGTCCTTATTTTCCTCTATTTCAAAGTCGAAGATTCCCAGGAGGAAATATTCCGCCTTCATCTCTTTTTTTATGTTCAGTATATTGTTTGATATTTCGTGTATCTCCTTCCAAAATCTTTTAATTTTATCACAGGCCCACCAGGAGTGGAAGAAAGTCCCCTTCTTTTTCTGACACTTCCAGCATAGTCCAGGAACATTTTTATACCATTTTGTTAATTTGCTGGGTGTTATGTACCAGCGGTACATCATCTTGAGCCAATTTTCTCGCAGATCGTATGAATTTATCCATTTTAACTTTTTGTTCCAGATCTCTTCCCAATCTCTTGTTCTTACTGTATGTCCTATATTTCTTGTCCATTTCGCAAGACAGTTTTTGCTTTGATGTTTCTCCGTCTTCCAATCCAATAGTATCCTGTAAATTTTGGTGATCCCTTTTCTCTCTGTGGACATAATCTTATCCCATTGTTTTTCTCCTTGCTCAAAGCCCACTTTCTTGTCCTTGTTGTAGGCTTCTATTAATTGTCTATGTTGGAACCATGTAATCTCACCGTATGTTAGTCTTATTTCTTCTAGGGTTTTGATTTTATATTCTTCTCTGCTTTTCATTAGAATATCCTTGTAGCGAGGCCATTTCTCCCAGCCTAGTTCCCTCCTTTGTGTTGCTTCGAGCGGTGACACCCAGAGGGGAGTTTTTGAATAAAATTTCATTTTATACTTTTCCCATATTTTAATCAGGGAGGACCGAATAAAATGATTGCCAAAATTTTTTTCAATCAATCTTTTTGCATACCACATGTATGCGTGCCAACCGGACCGCAGGTCATGGCCTTCTAACGTCAGATCTTTTGTTTTACTTATATTAGACCATTCTTTTACCCACAGTAGGCCACAAGCATCGTGGTAAAGTTGCAGGTCCGGTAGTCCCAGCCCTCCTTTTTCTTTCCTATCAATCAGGTGTTCGTATTTGATTCTGGGTTTTTTCCCTGCCCATATGAATTTTTTAATTTCTATGTTCCATTTCTTGATTGTTTGGAGGTTTCTTATTATGGGGATAGTTTGGAAAAGGAAGAGGAGTTTGGGCAGTACTACCATTTTGATGGCGGAAATTCTTCCTAATAATGATAATTTTAAATTCTTCCATTTAGATATTTCTTTGTTTATCTCGCACCATTTTGTTTCGTAGTTGTTTTTCATCAAATGCAGATTTTTTTCTGCTAATGTTATCCCCAAATATTTTATCTTCTTCACTACTTGGATACCGCTTTCCTCCTCCAACTTGTTTTGTCTCTCTTTTGTCTTGTTGGATCTCCAAATAATAGAGTATTGATTCATTAGATATGGCTCCTTTGCTGCTTCTACTATTGCTGCTGCTGCGGTTATTACTTGAGTTTTATGAAGCCGAACTCAAGGCAATAGCAGCATCTGACAATGCTGCTTCCCCTTCTGAGGAGGCGTAATAGTTAAAAGAAAGGAAGAAATTGGACTTATTCCAATTAAAAATTAAATATAATGTGGTAAAGTGACAATTCCTGATTTCCTTAATCCTGGAGATCTTTCTTCTTTGACAAGTAGGCTACATTTCCTGTGGAACAGTTGCAGTCTGCATCAATGGAACACCTATGACATCATACACCCGTGTGGCATGTGTGTGTATACACATGCGTACAGCAGATTCAGTGTTGTAGCTTACTGTGGTTTCCTACTAGAATCATAGAGTTTTAAGAGATCTCATGGGCTATCCAGTCCAACTCCCTGCCAAGAAGCAGGGAAATCGCATTCAAAGCACCCCCGACAGATGGCCATCCAGCCTCTGCTTAAAAGCCTTCAAAGAAGGAGCCTCCACCACAGTCCAGGGCAGAGAGTTCCATTGCTGAACAGTTCTCACAGTCAGGAAGTTCTTCCTAATATTCAGGTGGAATCTCCTTTCCTGTACTTGGAAGCCATTGTTCTGTGTCCTAGTCTCCAGGGCAGCAGAAAACAAGCCTGCTCCCTCCTCCCTATGACTTCCCCTCACATATTTATATATGGCCCTTATAAAGTCTCCTCTCAGCCTTCTCTTCTGCAGGCTAAATATGCCCAGCTCTTTAAGCCACTCCTCATAGGGCTTGTTCTCATTTTATTCACCCTCCTCTGGACACATTCCAGTGTCAACATCTCCCTTAAATTGTGATGCTCAGAACTGGATGCAGTGTTCCAGGTGTTGTCTGACCAAGGCAGAATAGAGAGGTAGCATGACTTCCATGTATCGAGACGCTAAACTCCTATTGATGCAGCCCAAAATCCCATTGGCTTTTTTAGCTGCCGCATCACATTATTGGCTCATGTTTAATTTGTAGACAGGCAGTTGTACTTGTCAGCTCCATTACAGATAATATCTAATCGTATCAGATCATGAAATACTTTTTTGAGTTTTTATATTACCAGTGTTCTCTTGCATTTATGTTCTGCATTTTTCTATTGTATGTATAAGCCATTCTATGAATTTCTATTGAAGAGTGGCTTAGAACATTCTATAATAAAGAAATAGAACAATTGGATTTGAATGGGGTAAGTTTTCATGTAATTCTTAACTTGGCAAACTGTTTTTAATGTATATTTACAACTATTTTATTATGTATATGGTTGTTTTTATTATATGTTTACATTGTATTGGCATTGAATTGTTGCCTGCTAGAAGCCGTTCTGAGTCCCTCCTCGGAGGTCGAGAAGGACGGGGTACAAATGTAGTAAAAAATAAATAATACCATTGGAAAAACACAGAGTCAGGAAGGAAAATGGACCATTTGTCATTATGAAATGACTAAAGTAGGTCAGCCAGATTTCTGAACCACAGTTAAACAATAACAACAAAATCCTATCAAATCGTCTTTAGGTTTTAAACACAACGGAGTTCTTTCATAGGAGCGATGGTCTCGAATGAAAGTAGATCTCATAATGATTGTGCTCACAATCTGAGGCACTAAGCTCAGTGCTTTCAGAACATTCCTTGGCTGTGAGCGAAGGATAGAGCAAGGAAGCAAACTCCAGTAAGATCTGCTCTGAAGGCTTGTAAATTTTTAATTCGGCAGCTTTCTTGTGAGTCACAAAGGGAAGGTCACTTTATTGGAAATAAAAACCTGCCGGCAAAGTCACTGTGTTGACCTCCTCTGTGTAGCTCCTTTTGCTTTGTTCTTTGGGATAGAGCACACAGAACTCTGGAAGGGAAGATGCCTGTGATGCCAAAGTGTGCTTTCCCTTGGTGCGCTGTGCTTGCTTCCCCCTCCCATCCTCCTCTCCGTCCCTCCTGTCTTTAGTACCGCCTCTTCCATGCACCCTGTAGCCAGCAGCAAGACAGCTGTGTTTGATCATAAACCACTTACAACTCCAGGCTCCCTGGAAGGGGAAACTTTAGCGTGAACAGCAGGATAGGTCTGCGTCCTGTTCAGCCTTCCACCTCCTGATAGGATCTAACCAGAGCTTTTGGAGAGCATTTGTGCTTGCAAGAGCTGACAAAGCTCCCAAGATCTTTCCAAATGCATAGGATTCCTTTGGGAAAGGCTTTTTCTGATCTATCAGAGGGGTTGGGGAAAGGAAAGGCATAACATCGGAGGCAGTTTTGGGAGCCAGGAGATCGTCACAGGCTGTCTGCGTCCTGTCTGGCCATGCACTCTGCAGTGCTTTAATGAGTATTTTGCACCAATGGATTTCTGTGTGAATCGGCAACCAGTTTTTTGGTGAGCGTCTCTCTCCCTCTCTCTTTAGGAGACCCTGTGCATTGTTAAATGTTTTAGGCTGCCTAAATGTTGAGTGAAAATGGCTGTCTAGAGCAAAATGAGCAAGACAGGAAAAGCTCAGAAAAGAAGAGGGTGCTGAGTCTTCTGGAGCAACGCTTGGAAACCTTAAAATCCATAGAGAGAGATCAAGCCCTGGAAAGTCTCATCATGAATTCTGGAGTTGCCATGAAATATGGAAATGACTCTGCAGAACTAAGCGAGGTAAGCAGCTTTAGTGTCCTTGTTTTTCACGCTTATTGGATTTTGTTTCTGAATTACAGTGTCTCCCCTTTGGAGTATCCACTCTGAAGGCAAGGCAATTAAAAATTAATGGATCTGTGTACCTTGTTTTGACTAGCAGGGCTGCCCAGGATGTGATCTGAGAGTGAGCCATAAAGATTAAGTGGTAAAAGGCAAATGGAAACAACTGTAAAGAGGTTCCACCCCCACCTCTCTCTTTCACACATACACACATCCTGCTGTAAGGAATCCCCCTCCTTCCGAGAGAGCACAGTGTTTTCCACACAGCATTCCTTTCTGCAGTAGGTAAAATAGTGGAGAGGGATCCCAGTTGAAATCAAGCATATGGTAGCTCATTTAGAACAGGGAATAAAAAAGCAAATATTAAGACAGTAGCTTCAGCAGGAAATCTCATGCCACAGCTGATTATATTAAGGCATACTTGGGGAAGTGTTTGTAATTCTTCCTGGCAGAAGAAGTAAGTCCTGGAAAGTAGTGATGGTGGGTTTTTAATAGCGCAAATTGCATTATTTTTCTGTAGCAATTGCACATTTATATGGTCTTTGTTATTGGATTTCTGAATGCCTGGCAGCCTATTGTGATTAATACTAAAATCTTAGACATAGTTACTTTGGAATGAGTCCAAAGAACTTGATTGGTTTTATTTCTGAGTAAACCCACATTGGAGCCTCTGGTGCTGCAGCGGGTGAAAGCGCTGAGCTGCTGAACTTGCTGTCCGAAAGGTTGGCAGTTTGAATCCAGAGAGCGGGGTGAGCTCCTAGTATTAGCCCCAGCTTTTGCCAACCTAGCAGTTTGAAAACATGCAAATGTGAATACATCAATAGGCACCACTTCAGCAGTAAGGTAACAGCGTTCCATGCAGTCATGCCAAACACATGACCTTGGAAGTGTCTGTGGACAACGCCGGCTCTTCGGCTTAGAAATGGAGATGAGCACCACCTCCCAGAGTCGGACACGACTAGATTTAATGTCAAGGGGAAACCTTAACCTTTTAAATGCACATAGAATCATTCTCTACGGCATTGCAACTCTCCAGTTTTGGTAACCTTTGGAATGTCATGAGGTCTATCTTATCCATAGGAAATGACTTTCACGGGATACAGATTGTAAATATTCATATTACTATCTACTATTTATATCTCCCTTCAGATTTAAGTGGATAGCTTTGTATCTGCAAACTTGAGTCTTTTGAAAAAATAGTGTGTATATATAAGATAATGTACAGAAGAAGAGAAGGAGAAGGTTATTGAGTTATGATTTCAGGCTTTTGTTTAGAGCCAGCAAAGAGTAGAAAAGAGATTTACACAGGGAATTGGGCAATGGGGGATAATGAGATGAGAGTGGATGAGAAGATAGTAGCTGGGTGACCATCTTATTAATGCACTTCCTTTTTAATACATTGTTCTTAAGCCTTTATTTTACAATGCAAATAATTACAGCCTTTGATCTTCAAGTTCTTCAAACTTGTCTGATCAGCATGAAGGCACCAGGCACTTTTATAAGTACTTTTATAGCTTCCTTCAGAATTTGTAGCTAAAGCTACAAATCCACCTTCTTGATACTTTTGTTAATCAGAATTCAACTTAATGGTTGCTTGTTGTCTTTCTATGTGTTACAGTCCTTTAAACACACATTGTGTACTGGATGAAAAACATGGCACCTATTGTAAGGAAAGCAACAACTAAAGGCATTTAAAAGCTGTGTCTGGGCATCAGTATAGCAGCTGTTGGGAATAACATTCAAGTCTGACCTTGATCATAAATGAATGGGTGGAATCCCAAACACCCTGCTCAAGAGTGGATGGGCCCAGTTAAATTTGTTGATTTATGGTGACCCTGATGTGAACCCATCATGAAGTTTTCTCGACAATATTTGTCCTTGCCTTCCTCTAAGACTGAGAAAATATAATATAGCAAGGTCAACCAATGAGTATCCATAGCTGAGGAGGGATTCAAATCGTGGTCTCTATAGTTGTGGTCCCTCACTCAAACCATTACACTATCATGGCTTTCTCACGTTAGATTGTTCACAATCTTAAAAACATATTTGCGTTACACTGTACTTATTTCTAAAGAGTATGTTTATATGCTACAAGGATATTTCTCCTCCTCAGTTGATCGTCTCCATATTGCTTTGGTGTTTTTTTAAATAAGTGACATGACTATTGTTGTCCAGCCCATCACCACTGTCATCTGTAGTAGCCTTCATCACAAGAGTTGTCCCACTGCAGATAAGTCTTGTTTGTGCTGATTAACCAGGACAGATTATCCTAGTTCTGCTCTATTTAAACCAAAATACATGTGAATCACTGGTTACACTGATGACTTGGCTTCTGGTCCTTCCACTCTGTGAAAGATGTGGAGACTGTATGGCTCTAAAACAGGTATGACAGCTGCTTTGTCAGCAGTAGGGACAAGTCCCCAAAGTACTACTTGTATTTTTTAAAGGTCTTAAAAGCTGCTTTGATTACTTTTAAGTGCAGTTTTTTGAGCAATGGATATGGGGTTGACTTTAAGTGCAATTCTTGATGGGGTTGACGTGTGTGTGTGTGTGTGTAAGAATGTGTGCACATGTGTTCACACTCAAGCAGCTAAGTGTTTTCTAGATTTATTATTATTAATAGGTTAGGCATAATACTACTTGGAAGAGGATAATTAGATGATTTTATCGCAAAAGCTACAATAGAATGATGCCCTTTTCAGCAATCAATTTCAATATTTCAGTGTATTGTGTGTGTATGTGCATGTAGTTTTGAATTGATCTGTTACTCACCTTGGGACACTTTTGTTGTCTCCTTTAAATATTCCATGCTGTTGTTTTCTCTTGGGATTTCTATACTGAAAATATTTCTCTGGAATTATATATATGGAGGTCACAATCTGTCTACTTCCCACATTTTCAAGTACAGTAATTGAATTGAAGGTAGACAATTCATGGATATATGCTGATTCTTCTTCTTCTTCTTCTTCTTCTTGATGATGTTGATGATGATGATGATGATTCTAAATTCTAGTGACATCCCAGTGGTATTATTATAATGCTTGGATTATCCATTTCTTCTCCCCACCACAACCACTTCAGTGTCTTTTGTGTGACTTGTTAAAAGATGTGAGGAGCTTCATCTCAAGTGATAAAGCTTGTTGTCCTTCTCTTGCCTCTCAACTCATCTACCCTTTGTGTGTCATTTTCTCTCTTTCTCCCTCTCCAATGTGCTTGCCTGCTTGTTGCTTTTGATTACATGCACTTGGCCACCGGGAGACAGTAGTGGCATGGCATTAAAGAAAACTAAGGAAATTGGTTGTGGTTTGGACTTTTACTGGGGTTGTGAAGTCCTGATATGTTTGAGTGTAATCCCAAGTTATATACAGAGTGTGATTCATGCATGAGATAAAACAATAATATCTGCTAGTTTAGTCTTGTATTGAAACAGACCCCAAATAAACCTCCTTTTGACTCCTAGTATGGATGATTAAGAATGTCAGTAGGCTTAAGCAGATGATAGTCAACAAGGACTTTGATATAAATCTCTTGTTCAACTGTGGTGTTTGCTTCTCTGTGTGTGTGCATGCATGTAGAAATAAATGAATCACACAGAAACAGAAAATATACAAGAGAAACTAGCCAATGTAAAAAAACAGTGTGGTGAAAATGAGATGTTTGTTCACTAAATTTTTAATGGGGTGGATTATCATGTTGACCACCTGGTGGCGCTGTGGGTTAAACCACTGAGCTGCTGAACTTGCTAACCAAAAGGTTGGCGGTTCAAATCCCGGGAGTGGGGTGAGCTCCCGCTGTTAGGCCCAGCTTCTGCCAACCTACCAGTTAAAAAATGTGCAAGTGTGAGTATATCAATACGTATTGCTTCTGTTGTAAGGTAACGGCACTCCATGCAGTCATGCTGGCCACATGACCTTGGAGGTATCTACGGACCACGCCGGCTCTTCGGCTTAGAAATGGAGATGAGCACCACCTCCCAGAGTTGTACCTGACTAGACTTAATGTCAAAAGAAAACTTTACCTTTACCTTTTATCATAACTTACATCATATGAACAGAGAAAGTTTTCTGGCCATCGTTTTTAGATGGTGAATAGTTGCAGCTGCCTTACTTTAATGTTAAATATAATTTCCTTCCAGAGGGAAACATGTTGAGAAAAAAACATGTTTCCTACACAGCTGTTTTATATATAAAAAATATAGAGATATGATGTAACTTCTTAGGTTTTTTTCTCTCCTCTCCAGTAGATAACTAAACTGCTTTGTTTTCTCAGTTTTGCTCTTGAGATATAATTAGGAGTGAAAAGATTCCACCTGTTTGCATTCAATATTGCCCAATAGTTGAGAAATGATAAGGTGCTCTTCAGATGACCTGGGCTGCAGTTTGAACATGTTTTATGTCCCGATTTCCACATCATATGAGTTATACTGAGGATTGCCAGCTGATCAGAAAAAAATACCCTGGCTTGATCTTACTGCATCAATCTGCTATCCAAGAGATAGAGATATAGTCCATTTAGAGGTAGGCACTCTAGTGCCATTCAATGTATTGGCATGATTATTGATCAGAGGTCATGGAATCGGAGGCCAAACCATTAAGAAAGCATCAGATTGCCTCCTGCAACCCTGATTAATGGCAGCTATCTCATTGTCTGGTCCTTCTAACTAGAAAAATAAGGAATCAAAGTTTAGAATATGCCACGATAAAAATTTGTGCTAAACAAGGTGTGTTATTCACATTGAGGCTTTGGTGTATGTCATTGCAGACTACACAAGGCAGAGAACTGATCTTGATCATATACATATATATATTTATATGTGTGTGTGTGTGTATATATATATGTATATATATATATATATGTATATATATGTGTGTGTGTGTGTGTGTGTGTGTGTGTGTATATATATATATGTAATGTTCGTTTGTGGGATTAACATAACTCAAAAACCATTGAACAAATTGACA